GGATGAACGCGGTGATGCTGGCGGAGGAGATCAAGGCGGCGCTTCGGCCGAGGATGAACGAGAAGAAGGGGATTGTGGAGAAGGAGGAGATTGCGAGAGTGGTGAAGGAATTGTTCGAAGGCGAAGAGGGGAAGAAAGTGAAGGCGAAAATGGAGTATCTGAAAGATGCGGCGAAAAGGGTTCTTGGAGAAGATGGGTCTTCCACCATAGCCCTTTCTCAAGCAATTCTCAAGTGGAGCTCCAAATTTTCTGGTTAGGCTTTCTCCTCCTCTATTATGACGGTTTCGTTTAAGATTTCAAAAAAATAACCATGAATAAAATTGCTGGTGTTTGGCTGTGGACATCAATGCCATCAAACTTTTGTGGGAATACGAATAAATGATGCTTATGTCTATTTATGAAATTAATTTTGAAAATCTCTTATAATTATGATATATTAATCAAATTTCATATTGAGAAATATGTATATCATTCACTCTCAAGAGATTTGTAAAAGTATAGCAAACTTTATTTATGGGCTTCTCGTGTAATTATGCATTCGTAAATTAAATTTTGGAACAAAGTAACAAACACAGATTCTTTATCCATTTTCATTCTTCAATCTATTGTACCAAACTGCCCTTCCGCTCCTCTAACAAACGCATCTATAATAAATAAAGAAATAAAAGCGTATTTTTCCTCTTGATAATCACGAAATAATTTTATATTAACTAACAATAGACCATTTGCTGCAACTATCACGTGTCGTGAATTCAATGGTTTTCGAGTCATGCTATACCTAACTTCGTCCACAAGTTACATTATAAATTTGACTTCACAAAAAAATTAAGTAAAATATAGGTAAAACATGCAAAATAATTTTATTTCTACCTTAAAAACTAATTAATTTTTTTAAAATGATTTAGTAAATGCAAAGTAATAAATAGTCTCTTTATCAATTTATCTTAATGCACTGGCCGGCGGAATGTACAATGGTCCCCTCAATTTTTTTTCCTTTTTTTATTTATTTAAATCGGGTTAGAAAACAAAATTTTACATGCTCATCCGTCAACTTTAATTTATAATAATTTAGTTTAGTCTACAAACTTACGTAATGACTTAGTCCATTCAATTTAGAGTTTGTAATGATTTAGTCTCTATCTTAATTTTTTTATTAAATTTCTTAATATTTGGATAAATAATTTGGTGAAGGAACAAATGTATTTATAAATTACAAAGACTAAATTGTTATATAATAAAAATTGACACTTAATTTTGATAATATTTTTTTACAATATGGATTAGATTATTACAAATTTTAAACTATATGAATTAAATTATTACATACTAAAGTTCAGAAACTATTATCAATTTAAAAATACATGGACTAAATCGTTATGAATTAAATTTCAGTGATTATAGAGGAATTGGGTGAAACGTATTTTTTTAACCATTCAAATATATATAATAGGTCCTTTTTTGGGTAGTGAGGGCAGGTGGACAAAAATATATACATATGTATTTCATACCATATATAATATACTAAATATTCTTATTAATGCTAAGTTGTGTACCCATTACCAAGATAAATATTGAACATAAAAGTACATTCTTTTCAATTTATAAATCTGTTGTTTCTATGGTTGAACTGTTAGCAAGCTATATCAAGACCTCTTTTTTTTTTTTTAGCAAACAAAGAAACGGAATAGAAGCAATACTAAAAAAAATTAAGGGTGCGTTTGGTTAGTAATCAGAAACAAAAATTTGAAAACAAGGAATTCAATGAAAATCAGAGTTGTATTATTTGTTTTTAGTTTTTTCAGATATGTGTTTGGTAGTAGATTTGGTAATTGAATTACAATTAAAAAAATTGTTAACGTGTGTTTAGTAATATATCTGTAGTAGTTGCAAACTAAATTTTAGTTTAATCTAAACTTATCTTAATTAATTTATTAACATTTTTTATGAATTTTATATAATTATTATTTTACAAGGTTATATAATTTAGAATACATTATCTTTTACGTGTTTTAATTTTAACAAATATAGAATGAATTTATAATATAAAGTAATATATTTATCAAAGTTTTTATCATTTTTAATGTAATTCTGTATCATCAAAATTTTAAATTCTGAATCTGAAAATACTGAAAACATAAAAAAATCGTTTTCAAAATTTCTACTGTTTGGATCACAGAATCCGAAAACAGTTTTAAAAAACGATTATCCAAAATCCTGTCAAACGCGTCTTCGTTGAATCCATTTGGTTAAGTGAATCTGAAAACAAAAAATAGAATTCGAGTTTCTAACCAAACAAGCATCTTCGTGAAAAAACCCTACGTCTCCTCTCAGCTCCTCCAGCCACATTCTAGCCATATCTTCCTCCACCGCAAGTCTTACCACCTCGTGAGCCACTCTATTTCCATCTCTTCGACAGTGAGTGAAACTGATATCCTTGAACTGCTTCGAAAGTGGAGAATTTCTTGCACTAACAACCCTGATCGAGATTAGTCTTCCTTGTTGGTTTGGAGAAGGAGATGGTTCGCATGGAGTCGGACTCAAGAAGCAGCTTGATAAAACCCATTTCTATTGCCATTGCCAAGCTTTCACGGTTAGCCAGAGCTTCAGCCTAGCTCGTCCACATCGATCGACCCCTCGTGACCTTGCAAGAAGGTGAGATAAACATTTCCTTTGCCGTCCCTCATCACTACCCCTAAACCCACCTTCTTATCAAGGTTTTTGATGGCTGCATCTGTATTGAGTTTCAATTATTTCTCGGGAGAGGAATCCAACGGGTTCTATTAACAGTCTACTCAGGTGATCCCTTCATCTTGATTCCTTTGGATTATGTCTCGTTAAAGATCCCACATTGAAAAGAAAAAAAACCTAACAATAGTTTATAATAGATATGAGCTACTTCCTTCCTTGTAAATTGGTTTTGAGATGGAAGCCATGAATATTAATATGATATCATAATTCAACACATTCCTAGGAGGGGGGAAGAATTTGTACAAGAAAAGAAGTTTATAGCTGATGTGACGGCACAAATGGAATTGAGTGGTGTGGTGGTTGGGAATTGACAATCAAATAAAGTAGAGGAGGAGAATAAGGCTACATTTACTTATGTGTGGCTGTGGAAATCCAATCCCAATCCCTCCTCACATTTTCCCCCTCATTTTACTTTTGACATATTTTAATTTAATAACCATTCATTTAAATCAAGCCACGTTACTAATTAATTATTAAGAAAAGATTGTGGATAGGGTTCAGACTTTTAAACTGTTAAAAGATAAAATTGAAACTAACACGTGCCAAAAACCTTTTTTTTTTTGGAGTATTTGGGAGAAATGTTTTACTTTTAAAAATAGTAGTAAAAATATAGTAATTTTCAAACTATTTGTAATGGAAATCTAAAGTTTCAAAACAAAAAAAATTGAATAGCAACCACATACTTCCACACTCCTGGGATGAAAATTCAAAACTCATATTTTGGTCGTACCAATTAAGTCAAGCTCATATTGTCATTTCTACGAAGATTTTTAATCATAAAAGATAATTCTTATGTTATCCATTATTAAAATTTTAACACCAATTGCGTTTAATGAAAGAAAATTTTGCTCGTCTAAAAACAAAATTGGTCTTTCCCTCTATTTTTGTGCTCCTCTTTCCTTACCCTACAAAAGCATTATAGTGACGAACCACACCTAATCAGTTAGTATTACTTGTAAATTTATTTCCTTCCTATTATAAGACATCCAGTGTTAATTTAATTTAATTTTTTTAAATAGTCCGTTAATTTAACATCTCGTAAATTTTGCAATAAAAAATAGTTGATTTTCATCAATTAGAACATTAAATGTTTCATAAGTTCATGACCAAGAGATATAAAAAATAGAGATTTTATTTTTTTTTTTTTAGAAAATAATGAGATATCATTTATTTTTAATGTATTTAGACAAAATTGGCCATGAGGCTGAGGGTAAGGACCAATATATTTTCTCTTTCGCAATTGCTTTAAATGTGAAAACGAACGTAATATTAGTGAGCAGAAATTCTGATACTCACGGCACCGCCTCAGCGCCGCCATGGAAGACGGTGGAGCTCAATCTCCGGCGCCCCACCTTGTGTTGCTGCCCAGTCCCGGAATGGGCCATCTGATCCCTCTCCTCGAATTCGCGAAGCGCCTCCTCTTCCTCCACCG